AAGAGAAAGAGAGAAAATCATTCATGTCCAAAGGGCTCAAAAACAATATAAACCTTCAACAGTGCACGAATTCGGAGACAACCTCATAATCCATGTCAAAAACCATTACCCAACCTGCTTACCCACTTTCCAATCTCAAAATCTATGGAGGATAACTATTTAAAAAACACTTATATTAGTGCCGGCGAATCGTAGCTACCGGGGGTGTAAATGTGAAATGAGATGTTCCTTCGTCGGTGCAGCTGGTGGTGATGGTAAGTACAACAGCGGCCTTGGGTTCGGGAGGAGTCGTGTGTCGGTGTGATTTGGGGGCAATCAAGAGGAAGGTGTGTGTCAATTGAAATTCATTTGGGTTTAAGGGGGAAGAAGTCGTGTGTTTTACTACCACGTCAACCATTTTAAATTTCTTTCTGTCAAATGGTCCTGTACCTATAGCGGGACTGTTCCTTTTTCTTCAATCCACATTCTTGTTTTAGAATTTCGAACATGGATCTTGTAGAAAATTTCTCAAAATGTACATGAACAATGGGGATATGTCGTGTTGATTTAGCCATATATCCAGATTGAATTAATTATTCTTGATGGCTTTTGAGCATCTTTGAAAATATATGGAACACTCTTAACAAATTACGCTCAAGTCCTATTTTATAAAAAAAATATTTTTCTTCAAACTAATTTTTAATCACATATATTTTAATAAAATAATTTGCTCATGAACTCAAATTTTTTTCTACATTTTAACCATACATTAAAAAAAGAAAAAAATCGCTACTACAATTTTTTTAACACATAAAGTGGCGCATAAAGATAACCTAAATTAAGCAACATACAAATTCATAAATGCACAAAAGGGAATATACCGAATAAGTTAATGGATCTAGCTTATGCAAGTGTTTGTTTGGGAGAGAGAATTTGAAGTGAAATGATTTTTGTGGAGAATGTATGGTTAAAAAGTGGAGAAATGAGAATGTATCATGGAAAATGAATTTGAGAAAAAAATTGTATTCAAATATGTTTTGTACCAAACCACCACTAAAATAATAGAACAAACACATTGTATCATGGATATTTCTATTTGTACAGAAAATTGTTTCAAAAAATTTTGCCAGAAATCATACATGCGCGGGGTCCATGGAGTGATAAAAACTGCCAAAAAGTCCTCTCACCAACCCCTTGATATGTCAGTTCTATATGACTTCTGCGTGTACAGTTTTTGTACACACAACAACAAGCTCCTTTTATTATTGCAACTTTTTAAAATGTATTTTTGAAGGCAGGTTGAATTTATTGAAAAAATTGAGAATCGATCTTGTTATTCATAAAAATTATAAAAACTAAAATTGGTCAGGTTATGCTGCATTACTAGGGGCTAGGAGGCTAGCTATGGTAGAGAAGGTAAAACCAAATAGGAAAAAGTCGGATATACCTATGTTAAAAAAGAGTAATGCTATTTGCGGTAAATTGATATATTAATGTAGTAGTATTTTATTACCTTATACAACAAATTATTAACCGACACATATATGCCACGTAGGGTGACTACAGTAGTGAGCGACTGCAAATAATATTATTCGTTAAAAAAACATTTCAAATAATACTATTGAGTGGCATAAATATTATAGGTGAAAAAAGCACCAAAAATATTTTCTTAAAACTTCTCTTTAATCATTTTTGTAACTAAAAACTGGATCTCCTTAAATTACGCCCTTCATTAATTGTAATCGCAAAAATGATGCAAATTCACATTTCAACAAAAAGAAAAATGAGAGATGGAATTCAGCTATGTTCATCATCTTTTGAATCATAAATTAGCCACCACTGGTTCCCTGCCTTGAAAATCTACAATCATTTATGACACAGTATTTCTTGATTTGTCAAGACAATTTTACATCTCTAAAACCCATTTTGAAGATTGATCGAATTTTGGTATTGTGTTTATACTTAATTTCTCAATTCGTTGTAAAATATAAATTTACTTCATGTGAATTTTATATATCTCTGCGTATCTGATATCCTGTATGATCATCATTGAAACGCGCCAAAAAAAAATTGTTCTAGATAATATGATTTTAATTTTACACCTTTCCATAACTACTTTTATGCTGAAATTTCCTCGTATTACTGGAAGTTTGTGATGGTGTGACAAAATTAATTCATCTATCATTCCAAGAATGTATATTAAGAATGGATATTGCAGATGGACACAACCAACATTGCTACCCTTCTTATTATACATCATTTAACATTGAATCATTTAGATTATTTTGTTAACTATGATATTTTGTAATAGTTTGATGGATTTATATCCAATAGATTGGTGCAAATGGTCGCAGAAAACATACCAAAACATGGGTTTGTATCAATGTGATTTGCTTGTGTTTCAATTCTGAACTTGTTTATTTTATTTTGTTGCATATGGGAAGTATAGTTGTGATGACGCATCATTTGCTGGTTAATAGATTGTCTCAATAATGTTTTATAGTAATTATTATTTAATTTAACAACTTGAATGAAAATTCCATGTTTACATTGTTGAAAAAAATGAGTGAGCGGCTCACTTTTGGCACAATTTTTGATGGGATCCGTTGGTCCAATTTGGAATATCAAAGTTGATATGTGTTCTCCTCCGCGAGAACATTGAAGTCATGTATTTATTTATCAAAATGAAGTTCGGGCGAATGAGAAATTGGAGTTTAAAATGGACCATTGGAAATGATCTATGTTGGTGGGAAAACTATAGTTAACTTTGTCCCACAGACGAAAAACATGGAAACCAAAACTACTTTATATATGACTATGCATTGGAATGGTGTGATCATGTGTAGCATAGATGCTCTCTCCACGTGCGCACGTAGGGGAGGTGCAAATCACGGACATAAATAGCCTTCGGACCTTGAACTTAGGTGCAGGCACGACCTGCGCACACGAATGTCAAACCGAACGGAGCAAAAACTGGCCAGTTTGGATTGTTCGCGTTTTGCAAAAAAAATTTTTGTGATTTTTCCAAATGACTTTTGAGTATCTGAAACTTCTAAAACTTCACTGGTCGAAACTGAAGTGTAACTCTGAAAACTGCAATGGTTAATGCAGAAACTAATGGTCAGATTCAGTCTGTATAATTTCACTTAATTTCTAGCAGTTTATACACTGCAATTTTCGTCTGCCTTCATACAGTTTTGCTGTCTGTTTTTGTTTCGTCGTCTCCTGTGTCCATTCCAGTAAGGTGATATTGTTCGAACACTCGCCCAGTTAGCTGGAGTAGAACCGCGGTGCTCGGATTCTGCTAGTTAACATTGTATTTTGGGAGACAGGTGCTTGAACTAAACCTCTAGCACTACAGTGAGAGAGCTAATTTGTCTTAAGGAAACTGTGTTTACACAGATCTCGGGGTTAAAAGTTTATTTCCAAATATATATGCTTCCAGTTTGAGTATATGTGCTTTAATTATTTACAGATTTACACGCTTTCAGATTTTATTTAGCTTTCTGAAATTTATGCTGCTTTTTATGTTTTTGCAAATAATATAATTTGTCATTCTTATTCAAATAGTGATTTAAATAATAGTTTGTATCTAAGTAATTTGTGAAAAATAAAATTAAGAAAAAATTTATCTGAATTTTTTTTTCGAAATTGTATTTGTGCAAATTATATGAAAACAAACACCAAATTCTATGTTATCTAAAGTCATTGTATGAGAACAAATAGTTGTGAAATTCTGTGTTTGATTCTTTGCCAAAAACGGTCATTTCCATACACGGTGACTGCCTATCAAATATGGTGAGTTACACTGCCAAATACGATGAGTTGTACTGACAAATACGGTGAGCAGTTGCCAAATACAGTAAGCAGCTGCCAAATATAGTAAGCAATTGTCAAATACGGTAAGTGTGAATCCGGTGTCTAAAACACAAATACGGTATATGAGAACCCGATTTCACTCCATGCACTACTGATTAAATATAACAACAAACTTAAGACAAATCCTTAATGTATATTGGTAGTAAACAAGTTTATTTGTTTATTGAAAACTAATAATTGTGTCATTTTTAGAAATGGCCGCCGAACCAACCAACATGGATGTGACCCAAACTGTTCCTGCTGAAAATAAGTTGTGGGCTCTACTATGGCTCAAGGGCCAAGCTCTGCTGTGGCTAACTTGCCTAGTTGTATTGTGAGTTAAATTGTGTCTCCAAAAACTGGTCAAAAGGTTACCGTTTCGGTTAATCATGGAGAGAAATTTAATGGCTTGAATTTCAAGAGGTGGCAACAAAAAATGTTGTTTTACCTGACCACCTTGAATCTTGCGAGATTCTTGACTGAGACTGCTCCTGTACTCAATGAAGGAGAAGGAGATATTCAAGCAGTCAATGCACTTGATGCTTGGAAGCATTCGGACTTTTTATGCTGAAACTACATTATGAATAGTTTAGCAGACATGCTATACAATGTGTATAGCACGATGAAAACTGCTAAGGAGTTGTGGGAGTTTTTGGACCGAAAATACAAAAGTGAGGATGCCGGGGCTAAAAATTATAGTCGGCAGATTCTTAGACTATAAGATGGTGGACTCCAAAATTGTTATCAGTCAAGTACAAGAACTCCAAGTGATTCTTCACGAAATTCATGTCGAAGGGATGCTGTTGAGTGAAACCTTTCAAGTGGCTGCAATTATTGAAAAATTGCCCCCCGCATGGAAAGATTTCAAAAACTATTTGAAACACAAATGTCCAAGTCTAAGTTGTATCGATGCAATCGAAAATTGAGTGCGAGTGTGAAATGAAACCTCAAAGTGAATGATATGGCAGGAATTCCGTTGCATAAGAGTTATAACTCAGCAGTTGTCGAAGCTGGTAGATATGAAAATACGACTTTCGTGGAAAAAGATTGTCGGAACTACATTGAACAGGTGAGACGTTTACGCCTTGGGGAAGGAGATGCGCTCACAATACAGGCGTACTTTTCAAAGATGCAAGCACGGTGCTCTGGTTTTTTTCTTTAGTATGGACTTGGACGATAAAGGTAGACTCAAGAATGTTTTTTGGGCAGAGAACAGATGTAGGCAATCTTACAAGGAGTTCGGTGATATTGTCACCTTTGACACTACCCATATGACTAATAAGTATGACATGCCTTTCGCCCCTTTTGTCGGCGTGAATCACCATGGACAATCCACATTGCTCGGCTGTGGATTGTTATCGAATGTGGACACAGGACTTTCGTCTGGTTGTTCAGAACATAGCTTGAGTATATGCACGGTCAAGCTCCTACTGGAATCATTACTGATCAAGATCGGGCGATGCAAAATACCATTGAGATTGTTTTTTCGAACACGAGGCATAGGTGGTGCTTATGACACATTATGAAAAAATTGCCTGAAAAATTTGGATACCATGTTCAGAAGAGCTCGATATTTTCTGCTATACATGAACTGGTATACGACTCTGAGGATGTGTAACAATTTGAAGAAGGTTGGAGATCGATGCTCGATATGTATGAGTTGTATGACAGTGACTGGCTATCAGGTTTATACGAGAATAGAGGTCGTTGTGTGCCTTATTTTTTGAAAACCATATTTTGGGCAGGCACGTCGACAACACAGCGTAGTGAGAGTATGAATGCATTTTTCGATGGGTATGTGCATTCAAAAACCTCATTGAAGCAGTTTGTCGAGCAATATGAAAGAGCACTAAAAAATAAGGTCGAGAAGGAGTTCCAAGCAGATTTCAAGTCGTACTCTCAAATGGTACCGTGTGCAACAACGTTCTTAATGGAGAAGCAATTTCAAGCAGTTTATACCATTTCAAAGTTTAAAGAAGTTCAAGAAGAGTTCACTCGGAAGGTGTACTGCGACGTCGTCTCGGAAAATGCAAGTGACTATTACTGGTCGTCCTACGTGGTCCGTGAGGAGATCATTGTTCATGAGCAGCCGAAGAAAAAATCATTTTAGGTATCATTTCGGAGGGATACATGTGAATTGATTTGTAGTTCCACTTATTTGAATTTCGGGGTATTATTTGTAGGCATTCGATAGTGGTGTTAATGTGTAACGACGTGACGTCAATGCCTGAACGGTATATATTAAGAAGGTGGAGAAGAGACATCAGTAGAGCACACCCCAGAATCGCAGTAAATTATGATGGATTGGTCAATGCTCCTAGACAGTTGAGGTATGACGAAATGTGCCATGCTTTTTTGGACGTGGCGGACCTCGCAGCAGATGACGAAGGATGGACACGTAGTATAATGGAGTGGATAAAATCGCAAGTAAAAGATTTATGGGATGACAAAGTCAGGTGTTGGAAGCGTTGTCCACTCACAGCATAACAGTAGTAGTGGACACATATTAGATCCAATATCGTCGAAGAAAAAGGGCGCAACAAAGAAACTTCGACGTAAAGGCCCGTTGGAGTCCACGTCAAAGAAAGTAAAGGTATGTTTTACTATTACGATAGCCGTTCTTTCACTATTTGTAACGAATAATAATTTCAAATGTCGAACATGCAGGCTGCCACACCGTCAAACAAAGGAAAGAGGCCTAGAGCTAGGCACAGTACTGTGGAAGGTAGCTCAGTCGATGTCCAAGCATCTGAAGTACCACATTATTCTATGCCGACACCATTACAATATTTCGTCCAGCCGTCACCAACAAATGTTGTAGTCGATGCCGAAGGTTTGTGTTTGGTATTTATGTATGTATTTTGTTGTTTATGTGTGCCGTAATTTTCCCCTCGTGTCATAATTTTTTCCTTACATCGTAGGTCTTGTTATGCCATACTTCTGTTAAAAGTTACCCTCTCAAGATGGACGCACTTGTGATTCTCATATGGAAGGTACATATGCAAATATTTTTCTTTGATTAGGATTTTTAGAGGCACTCAGCACTTACGAAATGGCAACTTAAGATTCTCACTTAGAAGGACCATTGTTTTGAGGTTTTGATTACTTTATTTTGCAGGCAGTTGGTAAGTTATGAAGAAGTCAAGGTGCCAATTGAAAGAAAATGAAGGTGAAGGTGCCAAAATGAGGTTTTGATTAGTTCCTGTTGCTTCAGAGGATTTAATTATTCTTGAATTTATATTGTATTTGCTTATTTCTTTTTGTTTTTCTCTTATTCTAAACTGAAATCTAAATTTGAAGACAGAATATGGGAACTTTAAAGCTTAAATGTAGATAAATTATAGAAAACATTCTGTTTTCTTGGTTTAAGATATAATTATAGAGATTGAAATTTTCTTCCCATGAACCCTGTGCTTTTACTTGCAGAGATATAGGAGACTGGATGTAATTGTGTCCAATTCTGCTGCAAACCCTGCTGTGACTCTATCTTGAAAACTAAAGAAATAGTCATTGATAAATTATGGGAGATCAATGTGAAAGCGTCAATTCTTCTTATGCAAGTAAGTCCATTCAATGACATTGAGGTCCATATACAGTATATCAATTGTCTTAAAGGACATAATGGGCTCGCTTAATGCACTGTTGGAATTCGCCATCTTTTTATTTTAGTCATGTTTTAAATGTAAGGTATATTATTTGCAATTTTTTACCTTGTTGATTGTGCATTTTTAATGGAGGCAGGAAGCAGCTTCTCACTTGCAGAAGGGTTCATCAGTTGTTCATCAGCTTCTCACTTGCAGCTTCTCATTTTATGAATAAGGTTGTGAAGCTCGTCCATCACAAAGCCGTCGGTATTTCTTGTATGTAGAGTATGATAGAAAGTAGTGGTGGATTTTTGATGAATCGGACCGGAAGTTGGTAATTTGCTATATATTTTAAAGAAGTGAAGGTGCCAGTCAATCTATATATTTTGCTAATTTGCTACTGTGTCCCAAGTGGGAAGTTGGTAATTTGCTAGTGTGTTGTATAGTCCCACCAGTTGAGGTGGCCGAATTCTCATCATGTCAATGTGGTTTGAAATATTCTTGGTATTCTGCTCAAGAAAATGACAAGTTTGGTACATAAAATACTTAATTTGGAAACAGTTTTTGACACTATTCGGTTGTGTTATTTGTTTTCTTGCTGGGGAGTTATGTCAATGTTAATTTAGATGATAATTTTGTGTCAACTTAGATGATAAAACGAAGCAGATGTTGAAACAACATATTGAACCTGTGCAACCCATATTATTGAAGCAGCAATCCAAGGTACAAAGATGCTGGCACCATAGTATACCTAAAGTAGTTGCCTTGCAAGAATTTCAAAAATCCAACATAAATATGAAAAGTTTAACAGCCTGAATATTAATTAATAGTTTGGAATATGGACGTATGAACTCATTAAACAATCAGTATTAACTGCAAAAACATGCCGGGATCCCAAAGTCAATTGTGGTGCAATTTTCTAAAATCAATCCAAGTAAGGCTTAATTGTAGTGATCATACTAAACAAAATTCAATCCATGTACACCAACTATGATCCTAACTCATCCATTTTTGTCTTACAAACCACATTTAAATGCATATTAGACATGCATAAAACTAAGAGATCATACTACTACTTCAACCAAAGACATGACTAAAATCACCCCTTCAAACCGAGCTCTTTCCTTCCCCGTCACATTTCTCGATTCCTTTTCCCTTGCTGAAAGTCATGTGCAACGAAATGTCGACGCCACATTTCTCGCTAATTCTAGCTAGCCCATCAAATAATCTTAGAGGCTCTTCATCATCCTTGTCGGGCGCCTCATTGACCTTATCGTTAATAGAACTCGAATCCCCACCTAAAGCTTCATCTTCCACCTAATCAAAGTACCCACAGTCATTGCTACAGGTAAAGAACAATTGGCCTTTGTTCCCAGTATCCCGTTCCACCTCAAAACATTTTTGATATCCATGGTCACAACTAGGGCACCGGCGTCTCAACTGACACTGTTCGAAGTAGTGCACTTTACTTCTGCAATTGTGACAGACCCCAAAATTCCTTCCTCTCATTATAGTTGATTACTGCAAATGAAATCAAAAAGATAGAAAACATCATTGTAGTTACATGATTGATTATAAATAAATAAGATTGAATATAGGATAAACAAAAACTCATGGGTTCATTTACTGTTAAACTATATCACCACAACTACAAAACCCAGAAAAAACATGTGCAGGATTGGGAGAGTAAAGGATGGCCGAGATTATATTTTTACTGCGAGTCTTCCGATGGGGATTGGGGAGTTCTAGGGAAGGGGTAGTGTCATCTTCAAATGTCCAGTTTATTGGAAATGTGTTTCGAATTTGTTATTACATTTTCGAAATCACAAATTCAAACACTTTAAGCTCGATATGTAAAACTCGTGACCAATCTACATAGTTTTCCTTCATGGGTTCACTTTATGCTCAAGCATGATATCTATTCTTCGATCCACACAGTCATCGATCGACATAAAGAGAAAGAGAGAAAATCATTCATGTCCAAAGGGCTCAAAAACAATATAAACCTTCAACAGTGCACGAATTCCGAGACAACCTCATAATCCATGTCAAAAACCATTACCCAACCTGCTTACCCACTTTCCAATCTCAAAATCTATGGAGGATAACTATTTAAAAAACACTTATATTAGTGCCGGCGAATCGTAGCTGCCAAGGGTGTAAATGTGAAATGAGATGTTCCTTCGTCGGTGCCGCTGGTGGTGATGGTAAGTACAACAGCGGCCTTGGGTTCGGGAAGAGTCGTGTGTCGGTGTGATTTGGGGGCAATCAAGAGGAAGGTGTGTGTCAATTGAAATTCATTTGGGTTTAAGGGGGAAGAAGTCGTGTGTTTTGGGGAAGAAGTCGTGTGTTTTACTACCACGTTAACCATTTTAAATTTCTTTCTGTCAAATGGTCCTGTACCTATAGCGGGACTGTTCCTTTTTCTTCAATCCACATTCTTGTTTTAGAATTTCGAACATGGATCTTGTAGAAAATTTCTCAAAATGTACATGAACAATGGGGATATGTCGTGTTGATTTAGCCATATATCCAGATTGAATTATCCAGATTGAATTAATTATTCTTGATGGCTTTTGAGCATCTTTGAAAATATATGGAACACTCTTAACAAATTACGCTCAAGTCCTATTTTATAAAAAAATTATTTTTCTTCAAACTAATTTTTAATCACATATATTTTAATAAAATAATTTGCTCATGAACTCAAATTTTTTTCTACATTTTAACCATACATTAAAAAAAGAAAAAAATCGCTACTACAATTTTTTTAACACATAAAGTGGCGCATAAAGATAACCTAAATTAAGCAACATACAAATTCATAAATGCACAAAAGGGAATATACCGAATAAGTTAATGGATCTAGCTTATGCAAGTGTTTGTTTGGGAGAGAGAATTTGAAGTGAAATGATTTTTATGGAGAATGTATGGTTAAAAAGTGGAGAAAATGTATCATGGAAAATGAATTTGAGAAAAAAATTGTATTCAAATATGTTTTGTACCAAACCACCACTAAAATAATAGAACAAACACATTGTATCATGGATATTTCTATTTGTACAGAAAACTGTTTCAAAAAATTTTGCCAGAAATCATACATGCGTGGGGTCCATGGAGTGATAAAAACTGCCAAAAAATCCTCTCACCAACCCCTTGATATGTCTGTTCTATATGACTTCTGCGTGTACAGTTTTTGTGCACACAACAACAAGCTCCTTTTATTATTGCAACTTTTTAAAATGTATTTTTGAAAGCAGGTTGAATTTATTGAAAAAATTGAGAATCGATCTTGTTATTCATAAAAATTATAAAAACTAAAATTGGTCAGGTTATGCTGCATTACTAGGGGCTAGGAGGCTAGCTATGGTAGAGAAGGTAAAACCAAATAGGAAAAAGTCGGATATACCTATGTTAAAAAAGAGTAATGCTATTTGCGGTAAATTGATATATTAATGTAGTAGTATTTTATTACCTTATACAACAAATTATTAACCGACACATATATGCCACGTAGGGTGACTAC